TCTGAACATCCAGCTGAAATTGAGTTGGAATGGGTTTGTCATCTTGGAGATAAAACATAGACATTCTAAGGGTGGTGGGAACGGCAGGGCAACTCTGGCTATCTGGTAACTGCAGTGACTTTTGCTGTGTGTGCTCATGTGTTGCTTGTTCTGTGGTGTGCCCGTTCTCTTTCTCCATGGCATGTTTCCATGTGCATGGAGCACAGCTGTGCCTACTTGGAGGTTTTGTACTAGTAAGAGCTTACTGACAATGTGTCTTATCTATTTAGGGCCCAAGGAGTCTTGGCTACCTACCCTTCTTGGTAATAAGCTGAGAAAGCATAGATTAGAGGAGATAATTGCAGGTTGAATTTAAAGGCAAACCCAGAGAGATCCAATTGTAATTAGAAATTGACAGGACTGTATTTTAATCCCTGCTAGCTGTTGGTATTTTTGTAGTAAGAGTAGCATAAATTGCCATATTTATAATTTTCTGGATTACCATGGTGACACATGCCATAGGAGTTTGCTTTCAAAGCCCTTCCAGTCCTCTCTCAGTATAGGAATTGTTCACAGCTTCTAAAGAGTGCTTTTATTTTTCTGCTTGTTAAGTTGAATGTTAACACAAAATTAGAAGTGTACGTTTTTCTCATTGTCTCCTTTAAAAAGAGGATACTTTCTAGAAAATAATTTGATAATGGTCAGAGATTGGCCAGTTTTAAATATCAGTAGTGAAACTCTGGACTTTCCGTTTATCTATCTATTCAGAAATCTTTTGGGAAAAATGAAAATGGGGGAAACTAAGTACTACTGAGATTTCAGGACTGCATTTTTTACCAAAGAAAAATGGATGTAGAAGTAGTATCTACTATGGTTGATTTAGTTTTATTTATTTAGCTGCTACTTCTTGTCATTAGAAATATAACAACTCCAGTTCCAGGGTATAGAATGTACCACGTTTCTGATAAAGAAGGATAAAAATATTACATATTGATATAGAATCAGATGTATTTCTCAGCTGAAATTGAGGAGAATTTACAGTGTGCAAAATATCCTTTCAGAAGTTGATGTCTGCCAGGGGTTAATCCTGCAGCTAGTGTAGAGCATTCTTTATTTGTAGCAACTGCTAGTGATGAGGGCTCTGCTGAATGTGTCTTCCAAGAACTGTTCCTAGGGAAGATGGTGTCCCTGGTGCAATTTGTTGGAAGCTCATTCTGAGAGATGATGTGCTTATTGTCAAATTATGAAATGTTTTGAGTACCTAACTGCTTTTCTTTAGTCTCTTGTATTTTTCTGCTAGTCAGTATGAGAGGCAAAAGACCTTCAATCTTTCTGAAGTTTTATTATAAAATTATTGTTTACACAATAGTATTGCTATGCTAGAGGTTAATGTTGCAGTAAGTGGGAAGACCATTTCATTCCCCCTTTACTTCCAGAGAGATAGGGTGGAGAGCACAGAACTATTGACAGAAAGTGTTGGTCTGTTCTGACTCAAGCCTTGGTTAATTACAAATAGTTATTGTTATGCAATAGCTTTCCAATGAGAAAATATTTTGAGTGTGAGAGAGGGATACAGATGTGCCAAAACAAGTCCCAGGTTAATAGCAAGCACTAGTATCCACACAAAGCTGTGGAGGCAGAAAGGAATTGACGTACAGATTATAATTCAGGCTCACATGCTTTAGCAGATGCCTGTACTGGTTTCTGTTACCTTGGTTAAACTCCTTAGTTGAGGATTTTATTCTATAATTTTATCATGCTTCAGTTTTTCCTTGGTGTTTCATAGAACCTTGGATTCAGATTACATAATTTACTGAGTTGCCAACTTTTTCATGTTCTTTGTTCTGGATGATCCCATTAGAGAATTTTAAAGAGATCAAATATTTAATAACTTCTGGGTATTTGTAATGGAGGACAATGCAAGAACCTTCAATTAAAAATCAAGAGATTAAAAAAGTAATAGAAATTCGACAAATATGTCTCAAATATGATCAGTATTCTGTTGTTAAAAATTAACGATTTCTTTTTCAGTCCTCACAACAGTTTGTTAGGTCACATTTGACTGATTCTCAGCATAAACAGTGTCTGTTCCTGGTTTCAGCATGCAGATTGCAGATGCACAAAGTATTTGCAAGTTTGTTGCAGATTGTCACAGTTCTGACAGACTTCACTTCGAACCCAGATTGTATTTGGAAGGCTGAGGCCATTAGCAAAGAAAATGAGCAAGTTGCTTTCTTGAGCATGTCTGTCTCTTCACAAAAGCTGCTTAATTTTCTGTGCAGCCTCCTGACTAATATCAGCTTAGTAGCTGAAGGGATTTGATTAGTTACCAGCAGTTACAAACTGGTAGTGAATAATTGTTATGTAGTAAACAGACCTGTTAGTAAGTCAGTTGTGGAACCTGGTTGAGTTCTGTTTTATCTGTGGGATCTGGTTAGGTTCAGAAGATTCAAATATAAAAGGTGTATTCAAGTGGCTATAAAAAGGATATTCAGTTTCTTTGAAGCATACTTTGCCTCATTCTGCCTGGCTTGTTCTCCTGCCATGTCTTGCTGGCAGCAGTTGCATTCACAGTAGGTTCATCACCAGTTTGCTCTTGCTGTACTAAAGCATGGAGTGCTATGTTGGTGCATCAGAGCCTATCAGCAATTTTCCTAGGTTTCTACTCCAGTTTGGGCTGTGGCATATTTCCAGTACCTTCAGACATCCATGACTCACCAGTTTTCTGGAACTGTAAAAGCAATATTAATGTATTTTCTGCCATTGTTCTGATGTAACTACACAGTTCTTTGTCTAATTTGCTTTTGCAGTAGCATTCAGTTATGTATTCCAAAATGTAATATTTCAAGATTGCATTTAGCATATCCTAACAACATATTTTTTTCTTTATGCTTAGTGTTGTACTCCCTTTTAAACCAGATCTGTAAGAATAAGATTATTTTAAAACCAGGACAACTTCAAAGTATCAAGTAATAAAAATCAAACAAAACAGCCCACCTTTGATTAGATATGAATTGAAATTTGAAATAGCTTTGTATACCTTTGGCTCTAAATAATGAGATTATAGTCCCATGTGATATATGGAAGAAATAATGCCTCACCCAGAATGCTGTCAAACAATATTCAGTGCCTCACAGAGAATGCTGACCTATTTCAGCTTTTGCATGGGAATCTTACTGCTCTTGCATTGGTTTTTAATTTGTAGGACTCTTATCAATGTCTAACATTGATAGAGAATGTGGAAAAAATGCAAGAAATAATTGAAAAATTATTGGTGTTGACACAAAGGTGGAAAAGGGTTCTTTAAACTGTATGAGTCAGTAACTTAAAAAAATGTGATATAGAGGGACGAAGGCAGTGTAACTTGATAGTGTTCTGCTTTCCAAGCTCCACAATAGTCACAATAGCTTGTCCATAGAATTAAGTTTGAAAAAGATTTTGGGAGTGTCTGTGGTAAATCTAATCTGTCTGAAGTCTGCAGTGGGGGAAGGCAACACTTGCACTATTTTGGAATGAGAGCTCAGTTGGAACAAAAATGTGACCCTTCTGCCTCTTTCCCCGACTGTGTGTGGAATGCTTCTGTGGGGTGATTCCCCAGACCCTAAATCAAAACAGCTTTTTGTTGACCCTGTTTGGTTTATGAACACACTTCAGTGAACGGTTTTGTGACTTGAGAAGAATTCAGTTTAAGCTGTCTCATCAGATAGCTTGAGACCATTTTTCCTGCTGCTGACCACTTGGGTGAAGTTAAGAGGAGGTATATTTGGTAATGTCTTATGCTACTGTCAATTAAAGTTGCTATTTATGCCACCTGGGTTTCTGGGAAAAGTCTTTTACCTTTGAAAGGTAACTATTTTAATTCTACTTGAGTGCGCAGGTATGAACACCTCATAGACACTGCTTTTTTTGAGAGCTTGGAAGTAGTTATCCATAATGGTGTATTTCCTTTAACATCTTAAATTATTTAGAAGCTTCAGAGGGGCATCTTAATTGCAGTAGGTTTATGAGGCACTTAAATACAGAAGTCTCATGTATAGTTTGTTTTAATTTTTTATTTCAAAATTGATTCAAGTGTCTCTAAATATTTTTGTGCTGTGTGTACAGGCAAAGATTGATGTTAAAAAGCATAAAATATCAATGGATGCAGTTCTACTTCTCATATATATAGTGCATCTTTCTGGGTCATACATACTTGAGATAAGCAGCGCAAAGGTGAAAACGTGGAATTTATGGGCCTTTAAAAAAACCCTATATTCATTCATTAAAAATTGTCTTTTTTTTTTCACTGCTAAATAATTTATTCAGTGTTTTCAAATAAGAAAAAAATTTCCATTGCAGTATTTCCCATATACACCCAGATTTTTTGATAGTGTCTTCATAGACCTGTCTGGGAGTGAGATGCTCTCTTATTTGGCAGAATGAAGAACTGCATTTAGGTTTTACAATTTTGCTTAATAAGCACAGCCAAAATGCTGTTCATTGCTGTGAGAGATTGGCAGGACTTTCATCCATCTGAAAAATGATGTAAGTCTGCATTCCCAAAGAGTTACAAGAGAATAGAAAAGCTAGGCTTTTAGATGAAAAGGGTTACTTATTCCAGAAATCATGTATTCACTGAATGACCCCATATTGTTTTCTGCCTTTGTTTTGTTGTCTATTTTGTCACAAGCTGGTTAATTATGACTTTGATCAGCTATGGGAGTTTTGAAGATCTCTCCTTTCAGGTCAGTGCGGTTTTAATCATAGCCTGGTGAATTCAGCAGATAGTTCTTCTAATTTCCCAAGAATTAGTACTGTGATTCAGGCACCTGCCTTCATCCTGGGTGGTCAATGCAGCCTTTCCTCAGTGGGCACACACATTTTCTTCACTCCGTATATCACATTGTAATCAAAAGCATGGGACTACAAGAGAGAGATCGCTAGAAGATGGCAGGGCAAGGAAGGAAGGAAGTTTTTAAATGGAACCCACAAGTTTGATGTAATAATAATTAAAAAAGCACAAAGTTCAAGGTCTGTTATCTCTACTCTGTGAGACCAGTCTCCAAGAGCTGGAAGCTGTCAGTATGCTGTCCATTGATGCGGATCTCCTTGTCAGTCCTTTTTGGACTCTTTGAGTCAGCTGCAGCTGGGAGCTCAGGGATAGTCTTGTCAAAATTCTCCATCTTGGTGTGGTATTCACCTTTGGCATTGCGGGCTAGCAGGGAGGCAAAGCGGTGGTACACAAGGATCTCTGACGGGAGGTAGGATGTTCTCCTCTGACACATTTCTCCTGTGCCTTCCTGCACAGCAGACAGGAAGACAACCAGCTCAAAGTGGTGAGGAGCTTCTCTTTGAAGGAGAGCAGCCAGTGGGCTGGATGCAGTGATGCAGTGGTAGTAGGTCAGTGGGAAAATGAAAAAAGGACACTCGTCTGCAGTGACGCTGTCCAGGTGAAAGTCAATGCTAGTTTGGTGCAGCTGGCCACTCTCTTGTTCTTGGTAAAGTATAGCAGAGATCTGGACGCTGGTGAGGGGGCTGGAGCGAATGTTGGCCACCTGGAACATGAGGTGAGGCTTGCCCTCGGTGTGTGTGACCACGGCAGAGCGTGAGAAGCGGATGGAGAGTGCCCGGTTCTTTGGGCGTGCAATCTTGGCCACAAAAGCACCTGGAGTATGGGAAAGAGCAAACTCGGTGTGAGCATGGGGCCTGGGCTGGTTCCCTGCAGGCTCCAAGGGAGCAGAAGCAGACTGAGGCTGGAAAGACTATGTTTGAAAACTGTTAGGTTGGTGTCATACTAACCTGCCTTTATTCCAAAAAGTATAGCTTTCATAAAATACTTATTTTTCTAAATTATGTTCACTTATTAATATTTGTAAGTTAACTGTAGCTGTAAGGAGGCTGTTAGCTTGCCCCAACTTAACCATAATTGATAACAGGAACTGCTCTTGGTATGTTATACTGTAGAACAGTATACAGTACACCGTAAACTAACCTGTGTATTTCCAAAATATTTTGAACAACTTCAAACATGAAGAATATTTTAAATAACTTAAAATACCTCAAAATAGCTGTGCACTGTAAAAACTTTCATTGCATTGGGTACTGAGGAATGCATAAACAATGAGTTAAAGATCAATGAAGATAGCTCAGCTAGATGAAAGTATGCCTTAAAAGTTAAAACAAATTGATTTTAAATATTGTACTTATATGGTGATAGCTGAGAGAGAGAATGGTATAAGAAAAGAATGATTGAGAGTGATATGCAGTGATCCATCACAAGTATTTTCTAATTAATAGTGAAATTCTTAAGTCCAGATATTGGTAACACCTAATTTGTCTTTTAAACACCTTAATGAAAGGTGTTTAACTTTTAGTACTGCATAGCTGAAATCTTGTCATCCATGTAGAGGCAACCTTAATTGTTCTTTCATATATCAAAATGAACAGTATTTATTTCTAGCTCTATTCTTAAATCCAGTTGTTATGCCTGTTGTGTGTAAAGATGCGTAGGAATGATTACCTGTGAGGAAGGCTTCTAGCATGAGCCCCAGGACCATCTGGATTGCCAGCAGTGCAATGGCACTGGGACAATCCCCACTTGGGAACATGGTGCCGTAGCCAATCGTGAGTTGTGTCTCCAGCGAGAAGGAGAAGGCAGCTGTAAAACTGGTGATGTACTTGACACATATAGTGTGATTGTCAGGTGGAGCATCATGGTCCAGCTCCAGGTCCCCATTCATCTCAGCCAGCAGATACCAGAGCACTGCAAAGACCAGCCAGTGAATGACAAAGGAAGCAGAGAAGACAAGCATCATCCATCTCCAGCGCATGTCCATGAGTATCCCCCACACGTCTCGGAGGTATGCCACACCTCTGCCTTGGGCACCAGCCATGTGGAACGTACTGTGCCCATCCTTAGTCACCAGCCTCAGGTATCTCTGAGTCAGGAGGGGAGTGCTGGATTTGGTGTTATTGCTCTCTATAGTGTCTGTTGTCATCTTCTAGAAAGGAGGAGAAAGGAAAAAAAAATGATACAATGCCACATATTTGTATTTTGCCTAATGTTCACAGCTTCTGACACATCAGCAGGGGTAGAAATACTGCAGCCAACAAAGGAGGGCTTATACATTGCAATCCAGAGAAGATTAAGTCAGGAGCCTGGAGAGGAATTTACCACTGTTTGTGGTAATACTTTGCAAAAAAGATTAGGTTTAAAAATCTGACTACTTCTCAAATTCTCCCTGCTTAGCTGTTTAAATATAAATTTCATACTTTACCTTCCTAAATTTACATTGGAGTCACATGCTTTAATTCTTTGGGGGTGAGTGGGATGGGATTAGGCATATTGTGTGTGAAAAGAAACTGAATTTTGCTGATTATACCAGATTTTGTAAATTGCTTTGAGCAGAGTATAATAATTTACCAGTACCATTATGAATACTATTAACAATAGTATAGTATTAAGGAAAGAATGTTATATTATTTCTGTAACATATGTATGCATTTTAAGAGACTGCTGTACTATAGCTACTAGCCCTTTCTGACTCTTCTAGTTCAAGAATTGTCTGTTGTCTGCACCCACCATGTCCAGTTAAACAGAACTACAGTATTCAGGGCAGAGCTGCTTTTAGGAGTCTGAGGCTGTTTATGTAAGGATCAGGTAAAAAGAGGGCAGGAGAGCAATTCAGAAAATAGACTGTGACATACTTTCCAGTCTAGTCTGCCTGAGCAGTGCAATTATTATTAGTGACCAAATAAAATAGGCCAGCAGGCATATGGGAATTAAGGTGGAATTGCAGATATGGGAAGCAAAATGGGTATCTGTAGGTATTTGGCATATCCTTTGTTTGCTTTTAAACCTCAAAGCTTGTGGAATTTGCCAGAGCTGGTGAATGTCTTTTGAAAAGATGGTGGTCACTCAAATCCATTTGTTTTATAAATACTGTATGTTTAAAGTTCACCTGGGGCAGATTAAAATTAAGTACAAGTTTGTGTAAAATAGAGACTTCATGATGTATACAACCGGTTTAAAGAAAGTTGTGAGGAAGCTTGTTTGTAGAACAACAGAGAATTTAAAAATACCAGTAAATTCTGCAAACGATAATTATATGTGGTGTATTTAGTCAGTTTTGGTTTCCTATCAATTTTTACTTTTCTTTAAATGATGGCTGTTGCAGTCTATTACTTTTTTTTTTTGTAGAGGAATTGGATTTTTCCTTTTGAGCAGTGCCATCTTAGTTTTCTCTTGAAATGCATTAGAAGTAAGGATCCTGAAATTGAGAATGAATTTATGGTAGGTGAAAATTTGTCTTGTGATCTTTGATCCTGTAAACCAGCAGTTTACATGACTGTTTGCTTAACCTTCAACCAAATTTTAATAACTACAGAAGATTCTCTTTTGCTTTTACTTGTGTTTAATGCCTACTGAGATATGAGGAATGACATCACAGTGACAATTTAGCTAATTTTTTTTTAATTTTCTCAAAGTCATCCAGCTATTACTGCTATCCATACTGTACTCAGAGGGAGATAAAGAAGTGGTGATGGCCTGAGTGGAATTTGGTAGTTTCCCCCTTAATTTCAATTTTCCAGTTTACATCTCCCAGGAGGAATATTTTAAAGTCATTCCCTGTGTCAGAGACTGCAGTGGACTTAGTGAGGTTCTCCTGGCATATGGTAGCAGGCTACATTTCTTGGGGGATTTTGGTTGTAGTCCATCCAGTTTATAGCATAACCCCCCACCTTCACTGAGTTGGCTCTTCAATCTGCTGCATAGCTCCTTGAATGGCAGTTCTCCCTCTTGCTGTACAGTAACCTGAATGTAATTATTTCTATTTCAGTAATCCAATGATTAATGACTTGTCTGTTAAGATTGAGACAAGCCCTTCTGCAGGCCTTGAAGGAGCTGGAAAATGTGGATCTCTGGATGGAAAGGATGATGGGGACCATGCTCAAAATGAGCTGTCAACAGTGCCTTGGTTTTATCAGAGTAAGCAGTACTCACAAGAAACACTCCCTTCTTTGAACAGAGAACACTTAGAGAACAAAATGCCCCCGAGTGCATCATGCATTCAAAACAAACCAGCAAACCAACAAAAAACCCAAAACAATGAAACTCAACCAAAAGCCAAAGCTTGTATTTTTCTGTAAATTCTTTTGGTACTTTGAGGGCAAGGTCTCCTTTGTAAACGCTAAGCAATATGGGTTTACAGAGCAAATAGGTCTTGTGAAAATGATTCTGATGCTGACTGGTGGGTGACAGAAGCCTTTTCTGTGGTGTTATGTATAAGTAAAAAGGGAAAACGTTCTTAAGATGGTACATTTTTTCTGGCTGTGCTTCATATCACGAGTGCTAAGGCAGTGTGTTTGAATACTACAGACTTAGAGCAAATGCTGTCAGCATTGTAGGATCTCAGATTTGTTGATTAAGGAGCTTCTTAAGGTGGTGATTAATCGCTTAATGTTGTCTTAAACTCTGAAAAAAATATCAGTCAAGTTCTTTGGGATTTTTTCAATGGGGGAGGATTGATTGCTGACAGATTTTGAAGGCACTTGAGAAAGAGAACCTACGTTAGCCCCCAGCAGCACATTTCAGAACAGTCCTGTGTCTCTGCTCTTTGAGACTGCCAAGCAGGTGAATTTGCCTTCTGAGGTTAACCAGGTCGTGCACTGTTACAGTGCTCTGATTTTTCTAGTCTAGGACTGTTGAAAATGTTACTTTTCCATTTCAGTGACAGGGATAGCATTGGAAATGTGTAAGCTTGAGTCCCAAAACCCCTTTTTACAAGCGCTGTTGATGGATTAAGAGCCACAGGTCTTAGCTTCTTGGAGTGAGAAAAACAGATAAGAAACTGCAAATAGACACTGAGAGCAGTGCAGTTGGGTGTGAGTAAGAGGCAAAAGAGCAACTGCCCTGTGGGAAATAGCTTACCCCAGGTTGGAGTATCGGTCCTCTGTGTTCTCAAAAGCAGAGGCAGCTTAAGAGCAGATGAGACTTTGAATTTAAAAAGTGTTAATGTCCTCTGTCTTCTCCTTTCCTTGCTCATAGTTAAAAAGTACAAATACCTTCTTTCCATGTCAGTGATAAATTAATGACATTATGAAGTACAATTTCAACCACCTGATTGAATCTCCTGCCATGGTCTTTGAACCCACATTAATCCCTGTTTCAGTGTATGTTTTAGGAAAGACATTCAGTGTTGACTCGAGAAGAAAAATTTAGTGTTTTTTGGAGACTGCTTGTCTCTGCTATAACATATATGCAATGTTTCTTATCCAGGTTTGTCCAGTGATCTCTCTCAACAGCCTTTGTTACATTATACGGTGGGTTTTGCTTTTCCTGGTTCCTGAGTCATGCAACTGTTGATGAAGCTTTGGGGTGTTTCTTGTCCCTCCATTTCTCAGCTGATAGCCCCTGATTAGAAAGACGGGAACTGTCAGAAATCACTTTCCTAAACCACTTTTGGCATGCTGATCAGTCCCTTATCACACATTTGCTGTGTGTAATCCTTCCTGTTTATCTTTCTTTGAAAACTAAATTATCACCAACACCAGTGTCAGTCAGTTCTTAGTTTTTTTTGGTTTTCAGTTTATCATCTTGTCCCTCATCCTGGCTTCTTTCTTTTATATGCTCCTCTAAGACAAATCAAGGTAGGGTAAGTACTAATTTTTTTTTAAAATCACAGATTCCTTCTAGCAGTGGGACAGGTTTTAAACTGACCTGCCTGGCTAATGATTTATGTGTGATAAAACCTTGCCTTACAGCTTTGGGATGTTGCTTGCATTTTTGAAATTCATGATGCAGCATGTGGCTCTCCCATGCTTTGCATTTTTGATTGAGGTCTTCTCCCTTGTGTTGTAACAGCCTTTATTGCATTCCTGTTCCATGCCACCACTTCGGTTTCCTCTCCTTTCCTCTTGCTTAGCTTTTTCTTAGGACTTAGGTAGGGTTGCAGGGAAACTCATTGGCAGCATTGTGTTCATTTCCATTTGCCTTCTCAGTTGAAGGCATTCACAGTGACACTTCCAGCCTTTCTCAGCTTGATACACAAATGCATCTGCAACATTTTGAGGAGCCCGAGTGAGGACTTGTGTTCAGGGTTGTGTTCTGCAGTGTTGCCCTACTACCTGCCCAGCCTCTAGTCTGAACAAAGTCTCTTCTAATTGACGTTGGAAGGGATTTGAAACAGTTTATGCTGTGCTGCTTTGTTCTGACTGGAAAGTGGTCTTGAGGACTTGCTATTTTCTGGGAGTGACTGCAAAAACTGCTTATTAACTGCAATATCATTCAAAGATTTACTAGATTCCGTGTGGTGGCATGCCCCTGTGGGGATGTGTACATTCCTTCTTTACATGGCCTGGTTTGCATGATCATGCACAAGCTTCAGATTTAAACCTTGTCTGCTCTGAGCTGGGATTGTGCAGGTCTTTTGCTGTCTCTGCGCTTTGCAACAAGAACAAACTAAGAATATAATTTTTAAAGGCATTTTTCATGCTATTAAAATGGCTATTTTGTGTGTCTTTAGATTATTGTGTATTGTTTTTTAAGACTGAATGGCCACTATTGGAGATGGTCTGGCATTATTAGGAAATGAAGTTTTTTTCAGTATGAATGAAATTATATGGATCATGTAACTTAAATTAGCGGACAGTCTTAGAAATGTAGGAAGTAATTCAGCTTGAGAAGCTGCATTGGTTGAAAGCTTATGCTTCTGTTGTGAGTAGAACAGTTAACATTTCAAACATATTTGTCCATTTGGTTTTGTAGCTAATGCCTCATTGATATGAATAGAAGTAGTTTGTGACAAAACTTACTTCTGAGCAGTGTGCAGAATTAAGATAAACTTTCAGAACTTGTTACATTTATAAGTAGGTCTTGTTAAAATGGAAACTTGAATTTGTTGACCCCAAGTTACTTTTTTCAAAGCAAGTGCCATAAAGGATAGGATGTGAGAGCTTGTACTTTTGATTTTCTGTGACAGTTTATTACAGAATGCACTTTAAAGAAAGAGGTGGTAAAGTAGGAGAGTATGTCTT